TTGCGGCACTTCTATTTTTATCTCAGTCTTGTCTTGTTTCATTTCATTAAAGAAAAGTTGTATGATTCTTTTAGACATAAAACAGTCAACTCATTTTATTAGAGAAAGTGGCAGTTTTGACATCTTCAAAGTCTGAATTAACTTTGACTTTGAAACATGATCAAATGCTTCTTTTATATCAATAAAAACTGCAGTTGAGACCAGACCTTCATGCTTTGCTATTTGATATAAGTTTCTAGTTCTTTCAGTTATAACAGATGATTGCTGACTGACAGAGCTTGAAATGTAAGAATAAGTACTCACAGATGATTATTCAGATGTTTACAGCTTGATATAATATATACTGTTAACTACTAGAAGTATTTATAGTAGAAAGATAAAATATAGAGATTAAATGTATAATGGTATTCAAGCTGAGTTATAAATAGTATTCATGAACTTCAGTCTATATAGTTATGTATAGTTAAGAGCCGCTAACTCTATTGATTACACAAGAGATAGAAATAGAGGTAAAGAATCCGCGAGAAGTGAAATTTCTTACAGATATCTATGTTAAGATCTATTAACTTGATATTATTTATATAGAGAGTGAGAAATATTTGAGAATCTCTTTTAAATCAGAGACTCTCATCATGATGAGAGAATTTAAAGCTGATATTCTTGAGATGACTTGTAAGTAGATTGAATCATGAGTAGAGAGTCTGTTTAAAACTGTAGAGAGACTGCAGAAGCAGGTATATATAGACTGACTGTGTAACTGTGTCTGAGATCAGAATCAAACTTTACAGTTATCATGTTGCCTAAAAGCATTACTTCTGATCATGATTTGTGTTCATTACATTGATTTCAAATCATGTTATTTCAAATATTAAAGATCTCAGATTCACTTTTCAAATAAAAATCTAGTCTCAGATAAAGAATATGTTTGAATTCTTAGTCACATTTTCATTCTGATCTCATTATTGAGACTGACATTAAATGAGATTATGAAATCACTTCTCACTTATATAATATCATAATATAGTGCTTATTTATTGAAAATTCAACAGAGAGTATTATCAAATATCATTACTTTTCTGAACACAGATCATAATTCATATAATTTTAATTATGAAAAAAATATAAAATACAAAAAAAAAACAAAAAACAAAAAATAAAACAAACACAAGAAAAAATCAGAATGAAAAAAAAAATAAAAAAAAAGAGAAAGAAAAAAGAAAAGAAAAGAAAAAGAAAAAAACAAAAAATAAAAATAAAAAAAATCAAGATTGCAGAGCTGCAGCACTCTTAAAATACTCACTTCTCAGAGTCTTTACAATGTTCATTATTAACTGTATATCTCTTATAGTGAGAGTAACACAGCTGTGATGAGTTATTATCTTAATATCATCTAATAAATAATTAGTATATATCTGTATAAATGTGAATATTTAGAAAATATACACTTAAAAAGTGTGATCAGAGTGAACTCTGCTATCACTTGAATAGCATCAAGAACAGAATACTGAAATTAATGATTTTCTTCATCAATTTCACAGATAAGATATGTGAAGATGATCTTGAGAAATATAAGATTCTCTGACTTCTAATAAAAACAGATCTCATGAAGAGACTCTATTTTCATAATATTAGAGACTGAGTGTTATCAAAAAGCATTACTTTCATGCAATGTATATATACTTACTGCAATAATTCACTCTCTGTGCATGTAACTGAGAATTACAGCTTTCTCACACTGTATAACTCTCTCTGAGATGCTGCTGCTGATTTGCAATTCATACAGTCTCTCAGTTCAGCATGCACTGTATATATACAGCTCTGCATGCTGAGGCTGTGTTAGTCATTATAGTCTGATGTGATACTTGCTTTTCACAGACCATGTTTTGTTTGAGAGAGGGGGAAGAAGATGTGACTGTGATTTTATTAAGAGAGAATGAATAATGAATAATATTAAATATAATTTAATTCTTCTATATTTAAAATTTGATTAGTCTATACTCTTTAATTTGAGAATTTCTAAGAGTGTTTTAATGATTTTAATATCAGCTTGAACTTAGTGATGGATTAAAGAAGAAGAGAAAAAAGAGAAGAAAGAAATGAGAATAACTTATCTTTATAATATGAAAACAGAGAATTGCTGTAATCATTTTTTCTAGTAACAAAGATCTGTTTTCTGCATGTATCTCTGATATAGATTATATGATAACTGTATACAAAGAATATCAACAGTGCATGTATTAAATGAAGATGATATTGCTATGTAACACTGTAGCTGTTTCTGTACATCTCTGAAAGCTGTTAATATTTTCTTTATCTCTTTATATTTGATAAGTCAGTAATATATTTCAATGCACTCTCTCTTTCATTATTATTATCATCATTATCATTATCACTATCATCATCATCATCATCATTATCACTATTACTATCATTATTATTATCATTATCATTATTATCATTATCATCATTATTATAATCATTATCATTATATTATTTCTGATCATCTCTTCTGTCTTCACTTCTCTTCAATACTCACTGAAATCAATCATGTCATTTCTCTTTAAATATTCTGCGGTTCTGCAGACTATCAAGGTGTGTGAGTATTATCTCAGATTAGAGAAAGAGAAGAAGAAGATATTCAAGTGACAAGAGACAGATTATAAGATATATTATAATGCCTTGAAGAGACTCTGTAAGAGAGTAGAATAATAACAATTTTAAGTAATACTTCTGATAGATTTACACTGAACTAAGTATAGAAATAATGCAGATAATACTGTCTATGAGAGATTAAAGAAGAAGATAGTGAAGAGTCTCATACAGTAGTGATAAGATCAGAAGAAGTTCTGAGAATAATTTAAATTCAAGATAAAGAGAGAGAGAGAGAAGAAGAGTATTACTATAAATAAGCAGCAGCAGAAGAAGATTAAAAGAGTATTAAAGTGAAAGATAAAGAAGTCAAAACTGATAAGTTTTTTATTTATTGAGAGATAATGATTTTTGATAATACTTCTATTCTCTAATTGATTAGCAGAAGCTGACAGAGAAGGAGAGAATTGAGGCCTTGTTCAGGTCTCAAATGCACTTCATGATTCAGAATATTGAGAAGACAGTTCTACTCTCTGAGTATATCAATCAGCTTACTGCTGAGATGAAACCTGAGACAGCAGATCAGAAAATGTGAGATTTTGAGATACAGATTAATCTGACTGAGAGAGAGCAGTGAAAACCCTTCTCTGAGAAGACAGCAGAGAGAGATTTTAAGATAGATATCATCTCAGATAAGAAGAAGAAGAAGAAGAAGAAGAATAAGAAGTAAATTGTGAAGAATGATAAGAAGAATGAGAAAGAGAAGAAAGATAATGAGTAGAAAAGTTTTTTTCTTTTTATATTAATTAGTTATAAGTTCATAATTATTAATAATTGAAATTGATTTTGAGTTTTCAAAAATTATTGTACAAGTTGTAATCAAGTCAGAAATAATATATATATATATATATATTTAACTATTATGATTCACAAATCACTATAATGTATAAGTATCAACATTTTTTCAATATTGATATTTATAATATTAATATATTTTTAATAATATCATCTGATAATGTAATTTGATAACACTCTTTTTCACAATATTAATATATTTTAAGAAATATGACAGAGATTAGACTGGCCGGTGAGATCATGAATTTCACATTTAATCTCATTTGATCTGATCTCATACATTTCTTGACGTGAGTCCCATCAGAATCAAGCCTCAAAAAAATCTGAAAATGAATCATTTCTGAGAGAAATGGCGTGAAAAATGACCAGATTTAATTCAAGAACAGTGAAATTGTAAGAATAAGTGCTCGCAGGTGATTATTCGGGTGTTTGCAGCTTGGCGTGATATGTACTGTTAACTACTAGAAGTATTCATGATAGAAAGATAAAATGTAGAGATCAAATGTATAATAGCATTCAAGCTGAGCTATGAATAGTATTCACGAACTCCAGTCTATATAGTTGTGTGTAGTCAAGGGCTGCTAGCCCTATTGATTACATGAGAGATAGGAATAGAGGTAAAGAATCTGCAAGAAGTGAGATTTCTTACATATCCTCTCCTCTCTAAGACTTCATCTGTGAAGCCTTTCACTGAGTGACTTCATAGTCAGCTCAGCACTGTAGTGATACTCACTAAAAACTCTTTACATCTATAAAAAACCTCAGTGAGGAAAAATTCCTTGTTACTGTGAAGAAAAAAGAGTCTATCACTCAGTTTCTTATTTCATGAGATTCTTTATAATCTACAGATTCTTCTCTGACTATCACACAGATTCATCTCACATCTTTTATACAGAAGAGTTTCAGTTGACTCTCAATCATTTTCACAAGATTCTTGTATGATTATCACACAGATTCATCTCACAGATAAATCACTCTCTGTGAGATCACTCTCATCAAAGAGAAACATTTGCAAGTTAATCTTTCACTCATTCTCATGAATCATTGTTCTTTGACACTGTAGAATTGTGAGGAATTTTTCATTCTTTCATCAACTCTGTAGAATTATAGAATCAAGATGTTCATGATCTACAATCACTCTTTGTAGTTATATAGAAAGATTCAGGTCTGTAATTCATAATCACTCTTGTTTACTGAAGTGATCTGACTGTTCTGTAGAATCACTCACAGTGTAAGCAAACCTCTCTAAAGTAGTATAAATATCTCAGATCTGTCTGCAGAACTTCATCTTCTTTTTTCTTTTTCTATAACAGCTTTCATTCTTATAAACTGTGAGTATTCTCATTCATCTGTGAAGTGTTTTCACTCAGATAACAGAGAGAGAGTGTTTCTGACAATATTCATATATTGATTCAAGAACTTCTCAAGAATAAAAAATTTTTTCAATTCTAATCTCTTCATAAACAATGTCTGATTGCTGCTGAGCTTCTTATAAGCATTTCTGTGACTTCTCTGATCACTTTTTACTAGCTGGTGAAGCAGGGGCACTGCTGCCCATGACTGCATCTTCATTCTTCTCAGCCTCATCACTGTACCCGATCTTCAGGCCAGCGACCAATCCCCTGCCTTCCCCAGGCCAGTTCCTGACTCTAAGCAGTGCAGTTCCTCTCTTTGCTGTAAGTCTTCTTATAAGTAATTTCTTACAGATTCTAGCTGACAGTTCTTGCAAAGCTTCTGATGTTGTCAGTGTCTTCTGCAGTTCTGCAGGCCTATGACCATCTTCTTCCTGCTCACACAATCTCTGATCAGGCATATGTGAATATGCCTAAGTTCTCTATCAATGATTCTCACACTGCAGCGCATTTCTGCAATTTCATTATCAATGAGAGATGAGTTTCTGAGTACCTGCAAAATCCAGGTAATCAAGGTAATATGAATGCCATGAATTCATGACAGGAGTTGATCTGAGCAGATGAGCCCTCTCTTCACATTCTCATTGTTTTCAGGCTGAATACTCCAGCACAACTGAAAGAGCAGACACAGCTTCATGAGAGATATCTGGTCACATGCACAGATGATCAGTCTTCAAGACTCTGCTACAACTGTATATACTCTGATATCCAGCTTCTCTGAAGTCTGTGCATTTCTAACAGCCTTCACATCAAATGTAACAATTGTCTGTATCACAGATATAATACTCTCTGCTTCTTTGAAGAAAGAAATTAGTAGTTGTGAGAGAATTGAGTGTTATGAATATTAAGAATATGAATTTAAGTTTTCTTTATTTTTTCTTTATTAATCTCTAAATTTTCTGTTTTTTTAGCTTTAATAAGAATATGATTTCTTCTTTCCTTGCATACACTGCAGACTGTTCATCTCAGTAGAAACTCATCATCTTATAGACTAGGATTCATAAATAACAGTGTTAATATCTTTATCACAATCAGATTCTTAGTAAAGATTACATCATTCTGACTTATCAGAATTTGTAATATGAAAGTCATGTCTCAGCTTCTACAGATATCTTATCTGCTCAGATGATTCTCAAGTGAACTCATTCATCTTATCAGAATACTCTTATCACTGAATCTTGAATCAGAGCTCATAATCTCACTTCTCTGAGTTAATAATCTCTTTAATCTGATATTCTCTTTCACTCTCTAGTACTTCATGAATAGAGTGATAAGTCATAGAATTCTCTTCTGAGAATTCCTTGTATTCATAGAGTAAAGAGACATGAAAAATATTGTGTATCTGTAACTCAGATAACAGTTTCAATCTGTAGAACTGTAAGCTAACTTTCTTCACAATCTTGTAAGACTCTATTCACAAGAGATTCAGCTTCTTACTAGATCTTCACATAATGATGTTTTCTAGACTCAGTCAGACTCTATCATCTTTCTTGAAACTCTTCATAATATGCTTGAAGTCATAGTATCTCTTCTGATACTCTTAGGTCTTTCTCAAGAATTTGCAGGCTTTCTCTCAAATCTCCTGAATTCTCTCAGCCTGTTCACAGGCATCACCATACTCTATAGTGTACTCTCACAGGTTTATCAAGATCATTCACAGATGAGTCTCAGTGAGCATCTTAAAGAGAGTTTTGCCTGTGCTGACATACTTTGAGTTGTTATATATGAACTCTGTGAGTAATAACTAATACACTCAGTCATTCTGATTGTAATTGACAAAGCATCACAGATACTGTTTCAATATACTTATCAGATATTCTGTCTGTTCATCTGTCTGTTAATGAAAAGCTGTGCTTAGATCTTATGAGATCTTCAGTATAGTTATCAGATTAAATCAGAACTCTTCTGTGAAGATTGATTCTCTGTCTGAGATAATGTTTACAGACAACTCATGCAATTAGATCACATTGTAGACAAAGATATGAGCTAAATTCTTTGACTTCAAGTTCTTGTGAGTGAGTATAAAGTGTGTTATCTTGATGAAGTAATTCACTATTATCAGCACACTGTCAAAACAGACATTATATATGTTCTTGCTTTCAGAGAGATTTACAAGAGTATTCATTTCTAGCTGTTTTCAAGGTTTCTGCAGAATGAGTAGAGAAGTAAGTTCTTTATATAGTCTGAATCATACTATTCATGAACTCTGATAAACAGCACAAGAATTCACTATCTTCTTCACAAGTTCTTACATCTTCAGTCAGAAGTATTTTCTTACAAGTAACTCATGAGTTCTAGTATCTGTAAAATAATCTGCTAGAGAAGAGTCATGATGCCTTTTAATAAGTTCTATGTATAGAAACTCATTCACAAGCACATAAATCCAGCCCTCTCTTCACAAGAGACTATTTAAGTCTCTTCAATTCTTTGTTTCTGCAGGGTTGATTTCTATCATGAGCAGTTTTCAAATATGCTGAGTATATTCATTCTTCAGTTACAGTTCAGACAATCTGAATAGAAGATCTTACAAAGACTTATACTCTGTTTTCTCTTGCATCAGGTCTTCTACAGCACTTCTCAAAGCCTGTAAATTCTTCAGATTATAGATACTCTCTTCAAGAATTCTCACAGAGATTCTCAGAGTGTTGACTCTCAGTGTTGTAGAGAGTAGTTGTACAGACTTCTTCTCTTTCTTCTCCCTCTTCTCTCACAGGGAATTAAGAGACTCTTCAGTTAATCTCTTTATAACACTCAGTTCAAGCATTCTGTGAAGCTTTTCTATCTTCTCTAGTCTCTCTGTATCTATCACCCTGATCTTCTTAACATAGTCTGATCTGTAAGAGAGTCTGTCTGCTGAGTTCTTAGTTCTCTTAATATATTCTATCTTGAATCAGAACTCACTCAGTCTCTGAGCTCAGTGAATCTGCTGCTGTGAGAGTTTCTTGATTGAAGTAAACTATTATAAGCTATTATAATCAGTTCTAACAGTAATCACTGTCATGAGACTCTCAAAGTAGTGATATCAGTGATAGAAAGAATTTCACTATCATAAGAAGCTTCTGATTATGAATGCTATAGTTGATCTCTGCAGGTTACATCTTCTACAAGAAAAAGGCCACTGAAACCCAGTTCTCATTTAACTGTAGTTGTGAGACTATTTCTGAAATCACAAAGAAGAAGGTATCTGTCTTCAATCTGATTAAGAGTAAGAGATTAAAGTGAAACAGCATCACTGTATCTGTGAATGCCTGTTTCAATCTTGCAAAGATCTCATGAGCTTCTGAGATAAGAAAGTTCTCACAGTTCTTTCTTCTTAATAATCTTTTCATTCTCTGTTCATAGAATGACTTCTTCTTATTTTCATTCTTCAGCATGTCTATAAGAGTCAAGAAGATTCTCACAAACACAAAGATAAATCATCTATAGAAATTCACAAAGTTCAGAAAGATCTGAATCTCATGAATACTAGTTGACTCTGATCATGATAGAATAGTCTTAATCTGTGAAGATTCTATCTGAATATCATCTGTGATGATTATATATTCTAGGAAATTAATTCAGCAGGTACTGAAGTTGCACTTCATAAGCTTAATATACAGTCCTGTCTCATCTAAGACCTTCAACACACTTCATACATACTCAGTGTATTCTTTCTCCTTTATGAAGTACATCATCACATCATTCAGATATATTATCACAAAGACATTCAGATATACATGAAGTATTTTATTGATGAAAGACTGAAATACTGTGAGAGCATTAGTCAGATTAAAAGACATTACTAAATATTCAAACAATCTCAGTGCAGTTCTAAAGACAGTCTTTTATTCATTCTCAGATTATATTCACAGCTGTGTATATACATTGATCACATTCAGTTATGTGAATATAACAGCTCTTATGAGACAGTTGATTACATTCTTGATCAGAGGCAGGGAATAGCAGCTCTTTGTTATCTTGAAGTTCAGATTACAGTAGTCTACACACAATCTGAGATCTTTATTCTTCTTCTTCACAAACATCACAGAGGCTCCTGCGGAGGCCTGTGAAGATCAGATGAAGTCATTCTTCAGATTCTTCTTCACATAGGTTCATAAGATCTCTGTCTTATGATGAAAGAGCTTATAGATTAGTTCTCAGAAGGGTTTCTGTTCTTCTATCAAATCTATTATCAGATTCTTCTTATAATGAGAAAGAAGCTCAGCTGTCTTTGCTGAGCTGAATATCTCTGTGAGATCTCAGTATTTCTCTGATATCTGAAGCTCAGTTTTCATGACTGCAAGATTCTCAGATACTTACAAAGTCATTACATAGATAAGCTTATCTCCTCTAATCAACTCTATAGCATCAACTGATTCTATCTCTGTGAGTGAGTCTGCCAACACTGATCAGAAGTATAAACCTGACTCACAGACAGCTATGTGCAGATTGTATCTTTGAAGTCATACAAGTCTCAAGTACATGTCATCTGTAATATCTGCAATAATCACAGTTTTTACAAATCTTCTTCAGATTTCAGAGAGATCTTGTAATTCAAAGATGATTCTTACAAGTCTCTCAGTTCTCAGATCTGAGTTCTCACACCCTGCTTATTGTAAGAGCAGGTTCTCAGTCTTCATCTTTCAGCTCATTCACTCTGTGAGCTTTAGAGACATCACAGTGATCTAGGATTCTGAGTTTATCAATGCTTTTCATGCTTGCAGAGCAGCAGTACTGCAGTGCAGTCTCTTTCTATGAGCAAGCATTTTCATCAGAGAAGCAACAGATTCAGATGTCAGCTTCAGAGCTCTTAAGAAGGCTGTTGCTGACTCTGTCTATGACTTCTCAAATTTCTATTTTGATTTGTTCAGACAGTTTGCATGAAGATATTCTGATTTAGAACAGATAAAGCAGAGTCTCTTTTTCTTAGTCTCTCTGTTATACACTCTGTTCATGAGAGCTTATGAAGCTCTTTCTCTCTGCTCAGCAGTCAGATATGAATCTCTCTGTGTCTTGTCATCTTTTTCTGACAAACCTATTCTCTGTTGTTCTGGCTCTCACAGGGCTGATCAATGATTCACTCTTCATGAGTCTGTGACTCTCACAGTGATTCACAAGTGATGAATGAGAGTCATCAGTTTCTTCAGAGTCAAGAACTTAGAGTCTTGCTCAATGAGCTTGTTCTGCATATCTTTATTCAGCTTCTTCATGAATATCATCATTCAGGTCTTATTTCAGAACCCTGTTTTCACAGATCTCAATTCATATCACAATTTCATGAAGCACTATGAGTAGTCTTCATCAGATTTCTCACCTCTTTTTCTAATATTGATGATCACAGCTCAGATGTTCTCTGTTCAGCTTATGAAGTCTCTTAACTTATTCTCTAGATAGGTCTTGAGAACAGATTATCAGAATCTCTCATAATCATTCTCTAGATAATTCAGCCAGTTCTTGACTTCAGTGTAATAGAGGTCTGTTATTACATAGATGATAGCTTCT